CAGGTCAAGGTCTGAAAGCTAAAATTTCAGTAACAAGATGAGAACAGAGCAAAACCCAAAACATTCAGCAACAGGCCTTTTGTTTTGCCCCAAACTGCTACATTACAATCCCCATCCAAAAAGATCACCCTTTTAAAACAAGCTTTACTGAAAATCTCAGCACTGTGAGAAAGCTGCTGCTTTTTTTAAGGTTGATCTATGTTTTGATGGGAGCACATCGCAAAAATAAACCCAGTGAAACTTCCTGCAGACAGTCATGCTGCATCACTGCTTACAAGAGAGCTCTCTCCTCTGCTTAGCGTCCCAGTATCTCAGAGATTAGCAACAACCTATTTTTATATTGCATCCACATGAGGGAGGAAACACTGAGGCAGCTAGTGTTTGACCACCTGCAGGTGCCGTGTTTCAGAAAGACGAGACTGTTTTCAAGCTGGCTGAAAAAAATAAAGCCACACTGCTACATCTGGCCTAGGAGCAGTAAGTAGTCCATAAAAAGAGAATTTTACTGACTGCTCTGAAGTTGCATAAAACGGCACGGCACTGTTGATTTGGAAAATAGGAACTGCTGCACAGCAATTCATTTGAAATGTATTTATAATCTAAATAATCTTCATGTCTTAAATACTATTTGTATTTAAAGCCATATTTTCCAAGACTGGGGGACAGGTGGACACACTTCTATCACCCTTTGTACGTTTGTACACATCTGTGCAGAGGGGCACAGGGACGAGTGGGCTCCAGAGAGGGCAGGAGCCTGACGCCAGAGATATGCGTGAAATGCAACAGCCAGTATCGCTGAGCTGGATGAAACTCGCTCCATTGTGGCCCCAACTTGGAGAGCACACAACGGTCTCCTTGGTTAGCAGCCTGCTCATCAGAGGACTTCTTCCAAAGCAAGGCTTTTATTATTATTAAAAAGCACGCATGCATTGACTTTGTGCAACGTTATCTTTTTTAAGCTGAGTAATTTCTCTCATTCAAAACCAGAACATGCACGTTGTCAATTTATTTCAATCTTTGTGTAATTCTGTATCTCAGGAAAGGCTATTAGTAACGCTGCATTGAAATACGATGAATAAACAATATGGAAAAAGCCACATCCATTCTGTCTAGTCTGTGTATCACAGGACTTCCAGGGCAAGAAAAGGCTCTCGACTCCCATGCAGTAGTGCCCTCTGCGGGATGTACCAATCCTAGTGCAGAGGTTTCCAAATCCCTTGTTACTACCCCAGGAAGAAAGGCTCAGAGCCCTTGATTTTGACCTCGACTACAAATTCCAACTTTTCTTGTTTATGCACATAGCCACGCAATCACCACTTCAGCTGTCACGAACTCCGGTTTGGATTACTACAACCTACTGCCACTTCTGCATTTAACCAAGCTTGTAGCAGCTGCCAGCAAAAGGGTAAACTCTGACTACTGGCAAGATCTAGTAAATGGGTATCACGACAAGATAATCGACTGGTCACCTCTTCTCTCTAAAGAGAATGCTGCTACTGAGAACTAACTACAAAGGTAACCTAGCCTCAAATTTCATGTAAACTTATATACTGCAATTTGCTTGATGTTACATTTCTTAGGATATATGTAGCACCGCCTTTTAAAAAAGTTTACTTTTTACTAAATGTAAATGTACTACTAAATGAAGGCAGTATCTAACCATTCTGTGAGAATTTCCTAAACAGAATGTCAACTTCACCAGATGCTGAAGAAGCAACAAAACGATTGCCAGAGGTGAAGGCAACATCAGTTTTAAGAACACTGCAGTGTAGTTTTCAGTACTTCAAGGTACTACATGGAGTGTGGCAGGACGGTATTCATGTCATTAAAGCAAATCAACTCCCATTACTAAAGCACGTGAGAGAGGGAGGGTAATCATTGTAAAAGATTTTACTAACTGAGAAAAGATCAACCGTATGAGCAAGAAAAAACTTTAAAACGTACAACTTGGCAGTATTTTGCAAATATAAAGTATTAAGTGGAATTTTATAAAGAAAAGGAGCAAAAAGGCTTTTGATTTCAACAGATTGGCAATGTAATTCTCAAATATATTGCGTGAATTAATAGTAACAAATGGGGCTCCCATTTTTGCTTTGGTAAGAGCCGTCCCAAGGCCAGAGGAACAGAGCCAGACTGCATGTGTGCTATGCTCCCAGAAAAAACAATCCATAAGGAACCACTGCTGTTAAGTATTAAGCAGAATTTTTACACTGGAAGTTATTCAGGCTCTTTCAATCCATCAGACTTTGTTTTTTAAACAAAACTCAATTTACATGGATACAATAAATAGTTTATTAACGGAATGTATCAGAGTTTCTCTCTCCCATCCTTCCTCTTACTCTCAGCACCTTATACACAGATGTCAAAGCAGCTTCCAGTCCAAGACAACAACAAACGTTAATTTCAAGGCGAAACGAAGAGAGGTTGAAAGTTAAGACTGGCACCTTTGAGTGCCTAGTTCCTCAAGTGTTTGGCTGGTTCCCCAAACCTACAGGCAAATTGGTGTTTCTTCCTTCCACACCTTGATTTACCTGCTTCTTCCTGACTTGTGCTCATTTAAGCTCTTCTTAGGCAGGTGACATGCTCCATGGGGACAGTATAAAGTCATGCCTGCTCTAATGCTCTTTCAGCTATTGCAATATCCCTTTATTATTTTATTTGAAAGCCCTACCGTTATTATGCCATCTCTTTCTGATCTTTCATAATAGTTCAGTTTACCTTTGGAATTTTATAAAAATGGAAAGAGCCTTTTTTTCAAAATATAGAGCACCGTGGCCAGGAATAAGGCAAGGGCGAGAAAGATTAGCAGCTTGTCCGTCAGTTCCCTGCGATTGTACTTTGTTATTAGCTTTCGACCCAGCTGAATTGTCCCAGACATGGACTTAAATTCTTCATTTGCTTCCAGGATGGTTCGTGAAGAATTGGCTGAAATTAAGGGAAAAAAAAAAAATTCAGCTGGTTGCGCTTCAAGAATACACGACAAAGGACGTAAGCATGCAATATTTGGCAATACACAGTGCCTGTGGGACCCTCCTGGGTCAGACTGACTTATGGGTAAGACAAAAGCAGACGGTGTTCTTGCAGAAGCTTTCACAACTCGGTAGTCCTGATGGGCTAAGGAAAAACGCAAAGCAACATAAGAGTACTGAATGGCTTAAAGGCCCTACGTCCTGTTCCTGAATTTTTAATTTTTAGATTACCACATCAAATTTAGTTCACACTTTTTATGAACAAAGTCAGTGCTACCTGAGGGCTTGCTGGAAGCAGAGTGAAATAAGAATGGTGCTAGAACCACCAATTTAAGAGAGAGAAATCACCATCACTATCAGCATCAGTTCTAGCAGCAGCAGGACAGGTCAATATTTGAATATATTAATTGCACAGCTAAACTGTTCCCCCAAGCCAGAGCAGTAAATCAGTGTGATTCAGATGGGGTTGCAGAAAGTGAAAAAGCAGCATGCAGCTGTAAGAGATCCTTAATTATGCAGTTCAAACAATTTAAACAGTTTTTAATAGTTATTTTTGACAATTATTTGGGTTTTTTTTTCCTAATAAAAAAGAGAAAATCAACTAGAGGAAAATTGATCAGTCTCAACAAGCTGGAACATCGGTCCCTTTCCACTTCTCCTTCCCTGTGAGAAAACAAACAAGCAAACAAACAAACAAAGGCCCCAAACTCCTCAGCCTTCCTTCTTTCAAATTACTAAATGAAAGCAAAAGCCCAGGAGTCCCCTTTTTCTTATATTACAGAATGCATACCCTGTACGACAGTGAATGCTGGTATATCACTCTATACTGAACTGATTGATTAAAGAAAGGTCAAGCTCCAAGCATGTTGTCTGGTTCACAAAAAGAAGCATAGTAGAAATAAGTCTGTAATATTTTGCAAACCATTACATCCCATCTTAAAGAGGCATTTTGAGCCAAGCGAAAATAGAAAATTTGTTTCCCATTGTTAATGACGAAGCAGAGCTTCCCCGCTTCACAGCCACATACATCCACTGCATACTAGGAAAGGACTTGCTCAGAAAAAAGGAAATTCTAACTACTGATTCAGAATTTGCAGCTGGGGTTTGTAAATGACCTTTGATAGTTTTTCCCTTGATGAACTCCAAGTGCTGTTCAGTCTGAAACAGGGTGAAAAAGTGTCTGCCAAACTGTCTTTTTAATGGGAGAAGAAACATGCTACTTTTGCATGAACGAACCATGCTCAGCTGCCATCCTCAGATGGGGGCAGAAAACAAGGAGGGCAAAAGTTGTGTTATTTATCCTCATCTTTAAACTGTTCTCCCTTCTGCTCAAAAGCACAGCTAGTAAGAGGCCCAGGCAACACAGATCCAACTTCTAAATGCTTCATGAATCACCAGTTCTGACAGGTCACTTGATTTATTGTCTTAGGAGTCTAAGCCAAAGAACTGGGTGAAATCTTGGTTTCACAGTCCCTGATGCACTGCTGACAGAGCAAGTGACCTTGGGTTCAAGTCACTTGATCTCCTCGTCTCTTAGTCATCCCAGCTGGAGACTGGGTGAAAACAGTCTTCCAGCCATACTAAGTTTCCTCTGTGTATGGACTTGTACCTACGCTTTTATTTTCTCCGCTATTATCAAATGCAAGCCAGGACAGCAGCACAGAGTAACACCAAACACGCTCTCAGCACCGTGTGAACTCACATGGCTTTTACAATTGCTTTTCTATGAAGCTAAAACAAGAGCTCCTCAGTCATCCTACCCCCTTTTCCTTGTTCAGTCATGATCATGAAACAGAAACTCTACCAAATAGCTCCACACAATGTACACTATTATTTTCTATTTACGTCCAACTGTTAGAGGAGTTCTGCTGGACGGTCCTTTAGTTATCATTGGAGCAAGTTCTCCTACAGCACAGCAGGTTTCTACTATGCTCCAAACCATGTCAGTTTGCCTCTCCCCATCCTAACAGAACTGGTGAAAGGTGCTTTACTCATCCAGTCCATACCCAAACACTGAAATAACATCTGTACCTAGGGTTTGCACGGTCTCCTCACTCTGCTGGACTTGCTGTGACATCATCCTGCTAATGCCCATCAGACTCTCCGTGATGTTACTTGCACTCTCTGCCAGACTTTCCTTTGTAGTCTTCCTGAAAAAGAAAGGGAAAAAGTAAAGCAGGAACAGATAAAATTATGTCTTTGGGTACTGTGGAGGAAATGCTGCTGCCAGGGAGCTTAGAACAGAGCTTGGCACCAAACACCTCTGCCAATGTACAAAAGACACAATTAGTTTTTACTGCATGAGAAATTCAGTCCATCTTCACTAAAAAATAAAAAAAAAATCACAAAACATTAAAAGTCATGAGGCAAAGCAACTGTTAGTGGCTCAGAATCTCATGGGGGCCCATATTTCACCATTTATTCATCCATGAGTGTACAACTTCATGAGCTGGTATGGAAGCACTGATACAAACTACCACTTTATTATCCTGGGTATCCCATTCGTTGCTTCATGATACTAAATATGCCAACTTTTCAATACAGAAATTATATAAGCTTACAACCAGTTTTGCACGTGAAAACAGCTTGCATAGTGATCCATTACTTGTTTATAACCCTGATTGGAATTAATGTAAAAGACAGTCAGAAAAACTATGAAGGCTAACTTATCCCCTTTTCTGCTTAGGCATGCCAACGCCAAGAAAACCTGAAATTATCACAATCCTTAACAGGTTAAATCTCCACAAAAGGTAGATGCACTCATGAAAGAAAAGCTATGTTCCAGATACAATTAAGTAACTTAAAAACATTACATCACTTCCATTTAAAACTACTGAATATAGCATACACGGTTTAAATCTCGGATCGTACAGTGGGACGGTCTAATACCTTTGTCTTAAGGAGTCTCTTCCCTGCAGCAGTTGATCTTTCTCAGAGTTGTCGATAGCAATTTTGCAAGCTAGATTTGCCTTTCTCCAAGCTGTCTGATTGCTGAAATCACAAGAGTACAACGTTGTAACATGATGGTAACACCTTGCAAGCGAAAACAATTTTCACAAAGCAATCACCACTGTAACCGAGCACCCCAGATACGTGCATGGACTTTCTCCGTATTACGCCACAGAATAACAACATACTGTCCTGTCATTTATTCTCCTGAGCGTATCGTTTATGGAGCAAGGGAAGAAGAAAACTGTGCCAGCTGTCAAGTGACAGACTCTCACCAGCTGTCAAATGACAGAGTCTCAAGCCACCTTCTTACATGCTCAACTGCTCAAAGGGACAGACCACGCGTGGTTAAGGAGTCAGGACAGGAGACAGGAAAGGAGAAGCGAGTCCTACCCTTTCCATCCCTGATTCTCTCTTGGCCTTGGGCAACACAGCATCATGTCAGCGACCGTATTTGCAAAACAGGATCCGAAAGATGCTGTACAGAAGTCAGATTATTTCTGGTTGCAGGGGACCTGTAAACAGCACCGGCTGCCCGACCCACCTGAGCATTTGTTTCTTATGGTTTTCCACTTCCCGCAGTAAGGCTTGTTTCTCCGACTCTTTATCTTGCTCCTTCGCCATCTGTTCGAGCTCCTTTGACGGAAAGCAGAAACACGAAAATCTGATCAACAACTGCTGCCACCTGCAACTCGCACACCCCACCCCCGGCCAGGGAGTGAATTAACAGCAGATTGATCCGATAAACTAGCTCCCCACAGCCGGGGCTCCCAGCCGCCCCACCTCACGCCAGCCGCCCCCAGGCAGCCCGGCGGCAGGCCGCACGGTGCGGGCCTGGAGCAAAGACCGGCCACCGGAGCGGCCCCCGGCCGGGGCCCGCAC